CCTTTGGAGGATATTCTAATCATAATCTAATTTAACATTATCAAGACTTCAAAACCATTCATCAAACTTTCATCAGTATTTACAGGATCTGTACAAATTCAAAACATACAACATAAATAATGAAAAAAACACTATTCAGGGCTCAAGACTAACTTTTTCACTGGTAGCACCAGTTCGGTTCCTTCCCACTGTTGCAGACTGCTTGCAGACTGCTGAAGCTTATAGGGAATCCAAATGTTTTGGATTGTTGGGTGTTTCTGCCTTTGTTAAGCGCTATGAGATAACTTGTTGTTGTAAATATGCGCTATACAAATGAAATTGAATTGAACTGAATTGAATTGAATTGAACTAGGAGTTGGGAGTTGTTCACTTGATGGAAAAGCAAAAAGAGGAGTCAGGTTGCTTTTTACTGAACCTCTTCGGATCAATAATTCTATTATATGATCAGTAATTCTATTATATATGGATTTAAATGTTCATGCTATTTATACAGTAGTATTTACATTTTTATGCTATTATTTCATATCATTACTTACACTTTTAACACATTCATATTTATATATTAGTGTTCACATTGTTGCACTATTTTATATTGATGATGTCATTTTTAACACGTTTTTTTTTTTTTTTACTTATCAGTTCATACAGTTATACATTAGTGCTTACACAATAATCTGTGTTCATACTTTCACAGTTCCAGTGTTTCTTTGTTCTGATTGGTTGCAATGCCCAGGTGCTAATAAGTGAGATTAAAGAAAAAACATCTGCACTGTTGATGTTTTTATGTTCAATGAATCAAACGATATCACATCAGGTGCTCTGACTGGCTCTCTGTTGATCAGGTGACATCCAGATCGGAATGGTGTACAGGAAGGAGCGTCTCGACGTGGAGGTGATTCGAGCCCGGGGGCTTGTGGGTAAACAGGGCAACAAGAACACTCCAGGTGATACGATTACACACTGTATTGCACTATATGCTGTGTATGTGAAGGTTGGAAGTGATCTAGGTCAGGGTATAACTAAAGCCCTTTTCAGACACTCACCCTGTTCTGTTTATCTGATGACAACTGAATTTGACTGCTCCATGTTTGAATGCTCACCCTTGTCACTTTTTAAGAAAAACTGCGTCAGCAATCGCACTAAGTAGGACTTAGTAACATTTCCATATCGTTTGCAACCCGGCACAAGTCTGAACTGCAGCATCACGATAGCAGATCAGTACTTGCAAGCAACAGTAGTCCCGGTTGTGCGAACTGATTTCTTGAAGAATTTTTTTTTTTTACATTTGTCCAAAAACATTAGAGAAAGAGGTAGTGGACATATTACAAGACGTCTCTCTCACTCGCTCTTCAATTTCAAATTTATTAGACGACAAAAAAAATGTAAACTTTACTGCAATGAAAACAGATACTACCCCACTAAAAAAAGTAATCTGAGTCTCCTCTTCCAACAAGACATTAACAGGAGCTGCTGTAGTTACGCTGCAGGAGTTATGCACAAAGCAACGGCAGTAACTTCTCCAATTAGTTATAAATTATCCCTGACATGGAGAGAGGATAAAACAGGAATAAATGCCCAGTCACTCTGTTAACTTTATCAATTCAATTCAGTTCAATTTTATTTGTATCAGACAGGTGAGCGGTGCCAGATGGAAGGGCAGTTTAGTTGGTTGCTTCCAGCTGTTTAGAATTATTGCCTTTATTTATTAAATACCTGCAGCATCAGACATGCGAACGTCTCCAAACAAAGAGAATTGTAGGATTGGTAGGAGATTGAGAACTGTTAGGAACACATGACGCGAGGTGGGCATGGGTGTTAAATTCATCTGTAAAAGTGTGGTACGTTTTCATAGTGTGTGTGTGCTGTACAGGTGACTGATACAGGTGTGTGTGTTGCAGCTCCCTATGTGAAGGTGTACCTGATGGACAACGGCAAGTGCGTATTGAAGAGAAGAACTCGTCTGGCGAGGAAAACGCTCGATCCTCTATATCAGCAGCAACTGCAGTTTGAGGAGAACCCTGAGGGAAAAGTGCTGCAGGTAACATGTCAATCGAACACAGGCTGAACACAACCGTACAGGTGGTGGCCAATCAGATGAAACCAAACTAAAACACACAAATATGTCAAAGGTGAACATTAAATGAATCTAAGACATGTAAACATCAACCTGTCAGGCCTCTGTGACTAACCAGCTGATGTTAACACAGATTGATTGATACCTGTGTTTCTGTGCAGATCATCGTCTGGGGTGACTATGGCCGGATGGACCATAAATCCTTTATGGGTGCTGCTCAGATCCTATTGGATGATCTGGACCTGTCCAACATGGTGATTGGCTGGTTTAAACTGTTTCCTGCCACCTCATTGGTGGACCCCGCCTTGGCCCCGCTGACCAATAAGGAGACAGAGGGCAAATCGTAGCAACCAGATGCCGGACTGACTGTGTCCTCGTAGCAAAGGGCAGGAGGGGGCAGGACGGGACACGCTGTTGCTGGGCTTTAAAAAAAAGTCCCATGATCCTCCTCTGCTGCTGCTGCATGCTGCATGATGACATCACATTGATGACGTAACTGTGTCATGATGATGTCACCAGGAGGAGGAAGAGAAGGATAAGGAGGAGGCAGGCTTCGCGCCCCCACCCCCCCACCACCACCACCACCATCACTACCATCCCACCGACAGCAGGACCACGCAGCAAAGGATGCTGGGAAAAGAGAGCAGAGGCCAAGTGACGTCCAGCTGCCAGCCAATTACAGCAGCTCCCCAGGAGTCATGTGACTGTTAGAGGCATGTCCAGAACCACAGACTGAGTGTGTCACCTGATAGTTTCCATGGAGACGCAGGAAAATGGAGGTCTGCTTCTTTATGTTTTTGCATGGAATGATGAAAAGATTAGAACATAAAAACATCAGAAGCATCAACTGAAAAAAGAACAAGAGAACATGAGAATGTCGCCTGAAAACTGAAAAATAAAAGATTCTCAAAGATTCTCAGTGGTTCTGTTTGACCAAGGTGTCACTTCACTTTTACACAACTACAGAGGTTCTAACATTACGATCATAATTTTGGTTCAACAGTGTTGTACACTTGCCTTAACACAACTAAAATTCCACAAGGTTCTGCTAGAATCACTGACACAACTCTGGTCCTACGAAGTTCTGCTGTCACTTACATGTTTCTGGTTCAACAAGGTTCTACAGTCAACTTTGACACTGCTACAGTGCTACAGAATCACTGACGCAAATTTGGTTCAACAAAATTCTGCTGTTACTAACACTTTTGTTTCAACAAGGTTCTACACTTAACTTTGATGCAACTATAGTTGTACAGGTTCTGCTAGAATCACTGACACAAGTCTGTTTCTACAAAGTTCTACTGTAACTAACCCACAACTGGTTCTACAAGGTTCTACTATCAATATCAAAGCCTAGTTCAACAAGGTTCTAAAGTTAACTTGGACACAACTGCAGTTCTACATGCTTCGGCCAGAATCATTGGCATAAGTCTGGTTCTACAAAGTTGTGCTGATACAGACGCAGTTCTGGTCTAACAGGGTTCTACTTTGACACAACTGCAGTTCTACAAGGTTCTGCTAGAATCACTGACATAAAATCTGCTGGAGTCGCTGACACAACTGGTTCTACAAGGTTCTGCTGTAACTAACAGTGCTGGTTCAACAAGACTGTACGGTTAACTTTGACACAACTTTAGTTCAACGAGGTTCTGCTAGACTCACTGACACAACTGACCCTACAAGGTTCTGCTATTATACTAAAACAGCTTGGGTTCAACAAGGTTCTATTTTAATCCAGCTAAAATGAGAGAATCGCGGATACATATCAGGTTTTGAAAAGTTCTGCTGTCACTTCTACAGTTCTGCCTCAACAAGCTGCAGTTTTACAAGGTTCTGTAAGAGTAACTGATGCAAGTCTGACTCAACACTGTTCAACCACTACAGTTCTACCAGGTTCTGCAAGAATTCCTGACATAACTGGATGTACAAGATATTGCTATGGCTAACACAGTTCTAGTCACAAAGTGAGTACACCCCTCACATTTCTGCAAATATTTTATTTAATCTTTTTATGGGACAACGCTAAACACGTCACTTTGTTACAATGCAAAGTAGTTAGTTTACAGTTCTCACTCTCTCATATTGGTCAATGGAAGTTTAACATGGCACCTCATGGCAAAGAACTCTCTGAGGATCTGGAAAAAAGGAATTGTTGCTCTACATACAGATGGCCTAGGCTGTAGAAAGATTCCCAACACCCTGAATTTCACTGTTACACAAGCTGTACACTGACAACTTTACATTGTAGCAAAGTATCATTTCTTCTGTGTTATACCATGAAAAGATATGGAAAAAAATTAGCAGAAATGTGTGCTCACTTTTGTGACTTACTGTGTATATATATATATATATATATAAAAAACTCAAAACACTTAAAATATATTTCATAGTACTATGCTATATAGTACTTTGCTATATTATACTATAAATATTAATAAAATGTCTGCAAAACATTAACAAAAGTTTGAATATTTTTCTGAATATGTTATTTTAATGAAAATATTAATAAAATGCCCCAAAAATATCAAAATATTAATTATATATGAATTGTATGTCTGAAATTGTGTACTAAATATATATTCACTTCATTGATATTTTTCAGACAATTTTTTCGCACATTGCATTAATCTATCCATTATCTATACACCGCTTAATCCTCACTAGGGGGGCTGGAGCCTATCCCAGCTGACTTAGGGCGAAGGCTAGGGACACCCTGGACAGGTCACCAGTCTATCACAGGGCTACACTTAGAGATAGACAACCAAGCACACTCACATTCACACTGTTAGACCCAGTTCTTTTGTTGAAACAGCTCCAAGGAATAGTCGGAGAGAAGTTCAGGTCTCAGGTTAAACAGTTTATTCAGGTCACAGGTAAAGTTTTACAGCGCTGGATTCAGAGGGACAGAGAGTGCTCTCATGTCCAGCTGAACTGAGATTTTTCGGTTCCAGGTTACAGATATCTTCTTGGGCTGGGCCTGCCCCGAACATAGATAAGACTTGTGCGCTACCGAGTTTAATTGGCCAGTTACCAATGGCGTGGACAGGCATACTTCTTCTGCGCTCTGTCCACGTCCTTGACATTTAGTAAGCAACATGTGTGGATGTTGTTGGTACGGCGTGTAGCTAAAGTAGCAATCGTATCTAATAGAAAAGAAGAATTTCTGCTGTCTCCAAGTGTGCAAACCGGTTCTTACCGGACACATTATCTTCAAGGACATAAGCTCAGCACAAAATACAAACTCAGAATACATAATAACTTGAATCTTAATTGATTATAAGAACCATAGGAATCATGGAAAAATACAGACTCAAAACACATAATAGCTTGAATCATACTTAATTATAACAACACCTACAGACAATTTAGAATCACCAATTAACCTCAACATGTTTTTGGACTGTGTGGGAGGAAGCCGGAGATATTGTATTATTGTTTCTCTGATATTTTGTAGGGCTGCAAGGTGGTGCAGTTGGTTACTACTGTTGCCTCGCAGCAAGCTCGCGGTGGTGGCAGCGGGATCTTCTGCATGTTCTCCCCGTGCAGCGTGGGTTCTCTCCAGGTTCTCCGGTTTCCTCCCACAAGGTCCAAAATCATGTTGAGGTTAATTGGTGATTCTAAATTGTCCGTAGGTGTGAATGTGAGTGTGCTTGGTTGTCTGTCTCTAAGTGTGGCCCCTGGTGACCTGTCCAGGGTGTCCCCTGCCTTCGCCCGAAGTCGGCTGGGATAGGCTCCAGCTCCCTAATGAGAATTCAGCGGTGTATAGATAATTTCTCTCTCTCTCTATCATACACACACCCACACACACATCCACAAACGCACACATATACTCAAAATTCTGAACTGATAGTGGCAGTGGTGGTAAAGTGCACTGTGCATGCAATAAAGTGATTGCGACAATGATTGTTGCTGTTCCGTTGCAATTGAACAGTTATACAGTTGTAAACATAAAAGATAACAGCAGTGGTCATTGTGGTCAACAGCAGCAGAACCATAGTATACGTGTTATAAGTATCATGGTCCGGTAGGTGTCCTGTAGGTGTCAATTTGCCAGTTGCATTGTTTGAAATTGAAATCTGAAACTGCTAATTTTTTCATCCCTATGGTAAAATCTTGTGAAAGGCCTTTTGGGGAAAGATAGATTGACAAAATAGACATGATCCTGTGTATTTATTCAGCACAGTTCTAACTTTGATCTTTAAAATTTCTCTCTTTACCGTGATTTCATTTTGGGGGCGGGGGCGTGGTTTATGTTCGCCCCGCCCCCGACCTCCTGTTTTACCCGGAAAGGGAACTCCTCCTTCGAGCAGAAGCAGCAGCAGCAGGTTGGTGTCTGCGGTCGTTACCTCCGACTCACAGCTAACGTTAGCTCGGGTTGGGCCCGTGTTGGGGTTTGGCTTGGCTCGGTGCTTGAACCTTCCCTTACTTGCACAGTCAACAATTATGGCGGCCGCGGATCCCCGGTCCTCGAGTGACGGCGGGCCGGCCAGCAGAGGAGGATTCCCGGCCGGGGAGAGCAGCAACGACCGCGACGGGCCGGGCGGCAGCAGCAGCGGCGGCAGCGGGGAGAGCGAACGGGAGCGGGACCGGGCCACCTTCGAGTGCAACATTTGTTTGGACACTGCCAGGGACGCTGTCATCAGTATGTGCGGCCACTTGTTCTGGTACGAGGCGGCTTTGTGTTTGTGGAGGTGTTTTGTTGTTGTGTGTGCGGCCTCCTGCCACCCTCAGTCGGGCTCGTTGGTGAATCACGCCACGTTAACCGACCGCTCGTCTGCGCATTATGTCAGAGGTGACAGCGGCCAAGATGGCTCGTTAGACACCACGGAGGAGGGTTGTAGTCGAAATGAAATGTGGCCGAACTTCAACCCTCGCTGTTGTTGTTTTATTTACTGCGTCAGGTGGCAGCGGTGCCTGATGTTGACGGTGCTGAGGAGCTGATGCCGGGGCTTGATGTGGGTCACAGGTCTGCTCGGATCAGTCACACATTAACTGCTGCCTGCTGATCATTGGCAGCTATCACATCAGCTCCACTCTCACTCATTCACAGCAGAGGTGTCCAAACCAGTTGTGAAGCTGCATGAAAAACAGCAGAAAACATCAGATTCTAGCTTCTTAAATGAGTGAAATTCCTGCTTTTCCACTTTTTATTTTATTTTATTTTATTTTATTTTTTACAACGAATATCATTGGGTTTAAGGCAGGTTATGGTGTTTAATCCACTACTTGTCCACTATTATATTAATTGCCAACTATTTTGATAATTGATTATTCAGTTTGAGTATTTTTTTAAAAGTCAAACAAAGCTTAATTCTCTGTTTTCAGCGACTTAAATGTGATTATTTTCAGGGTTGTTTTTTTTCTTCTTCCTATGTGACAGTAAACTGAGTGGCATTTGCCATCCTGAGTTGGGAAACACGGATAAATTTGCAGATTAATTGAGGATAAAAATGATCGTTAGCTGCAGCTCTAAACTGAAGATGTCTTGAATATGTGTTTTGGTGGATGACTGTACACTTCCGGCAACAAGTTTGCATTTTTCTCAACAACAGCATCTATTATAGTTAAGTAAATGAGATTCAAATCTGCAAAACTGCTTAAAAAAATGAATTGCTGTTTTTACTCTCAATTCCTAGCATTTTGGCTCTGCTGATTCGCCTTAAGTGTTGATTACAACCTTTTTGGAGGCCGAAAACAGTTTAGAAACTTTACATAGCTGTGAAATCCAACTCAGCGCAGCTCAAAATGAAAGAACCTGTTGGCTCACAGCTGTGATTGTAGTCCCTTGTGCTGTCTCGGTTAAATCAACACTTGTGCAACCTCTCAAACCACTTCGTGTCACACACATGCTCGGCGATGCTCCTCATTCATGAGTTGTGAGTGTTGACTGTTGGTTGTGCTCGCTAATGTGAGATTATGGCCTGGAGGGAAGGATTGAAGGATTGGGGTCACTCCTGCAGGTGTCAGTAGTAAAAGTCATAACAGCTTTTCTGACACATAGAAGGAATTCTGACTTTTCGAGCAGTTGTGGTCACCTGTTTGTAGTTTTTAGAGACGGTAGGGTGTGTATGGGTGTTTTGGCGACAGAAATGTGGGGCGTTTGTGATGTTATCTCCCTTTTCCACTGGCGAGGTATTCAAATCCGCTGTTGCAACACACCAAAGAGGCAGAGGTGTTTTTAGTTGCATCGTGTCAAATATTCTGACCTAAAGCTGGGATGTCAAACTGCTGCAAGAAAGTGTCACAATGCCCCCGATGTCTTTGGTATTTATTATTACATCCAGCCTGGAAATTTATCTTTTTTAAAAAGCTGCAAAACAGTGCTTAAGTTTTTCTTTTGCATGACTTTTAGAAATCAGCTTCAACCTCCAGGTTAATGTCTCTTTCTGCATCTGAAAGAAACAGTCTCCAGCCAGTTAAATGTGTCTCATCTACAAGGTTAAGGTTAATATTTCTACACAACATGTCTTGTACTTAACATGCGGAGCAGTGAGCTTAGCATGAAACACAAGACACGTTCACGGTCTTTGCATCTTGTTAAAAACGTCAGAGCTGCAGCAGATTCTCTTTTTGTACCCAAGATGACAATTTATAAGCAACTATTTTCGTAAGCAATTATATATGAAATTTTTGTATGCCAAACATTGTGTGGTTTGTGCCTCCTTCAGCTGTTGGGATCTGCTACCTCTTTTGCTGCTTTTTCTATGATTCATAGTTTTGTTTTTGGACCAGCAAAACAAATAATGTGAAGGCTTCACTTTGAGCTCTGTGGGAGCTTGAGATGCACAATTTCCTGACATGTTACAGACGTCTGGTTAACTAAATGCTGCCGCCATGTTTGGATCGACATTGATTATACTTTCTGCATCAGTTAGTAGCCTTTTCTGTTGTCTGTCACTTCAAATGCTTGTTTGAATCAGTGTATGTTGCACTAACAACATGCTTTTGGTCTTTATTTTAGCAGAAAAAAATTGGGGAGAATCAAAGTATCTGAGGCTTAAAAACTATTTTTTTTCAGGCAGTAGTGCAGGAAAGTTGTCAAACTATGATTTTATTTTACACTTGATCAGGGCGGTATTCTGTCCTCACAGTTGTCAGCACAGTTCCTACACAACCATGATGCTCCTGTGTTGTGTGCTGATGTAATTTAGTTGCTGTGTTGCTCGATTCCCCCCGCTCTCTGAAGCATAACAAGATGAAACATTGGTGATGAAACTATCAGTAAGGAGAAGCAGCGTTGACATCAGTTCACTTGCTGCAACTTTAAATTACAGTTGCAACAAGGCTGCAGATCTAATTGGATTTTGACTGCGTTAATTAGAAAATGAAAAGCAACGTAGAGTTTGAATTATTTTACTCAGTTCTTGCTTAATGCGAGATTGTGTTGAACTGGTTTTGATTGGTTTGGCGCTAATCTGGGATTTCTCCATCAATTTAGCTCACACAAGGTTGAAAAGTGACTGTTCAGGAGGCCGTACGACTCCTCCACGAGCAGACTCTGCACATTTTGGTGTAAAACCCACAGTAAATTTAGCAAGCCGCAATATGTTATGCAGAATCCAGAGGGATGATCTGTGTAAAAAAGACATTAATGTCTGTAATACTTTGAGGTTAATGAGCATGCGACATCTTTACAGTCCTTGAGTGAAAGTCCATTGAGTCGACTTGAGATGTCGTCCACACAGGCTACAGTGCAGCCGCAAGTTCTATTAAAAGAGAGCCACAGAGAGATAAATCGGCTCATTATTACAATCCAGTGAGCTTCTGGCTGGAGGGTTTAGGAAAAGGAGTGCAGGTTTAAGTGCTTGCATGTGTCAAACCTGCACAGCAATCTTAATCAGTTAAAGCCCAGCATACAAAGTGGTTTAAGTTAGTGATTGTCAAACATATGCAGCAACTTCTTGCTACCCCTCGTCACTGGTTGCATAATGTCAGTGTTGAGTCTTAAATTACTTCACAGAATTCTGTTCGAAGATCTAAAGTTGTGTTAATATGTAGCAGTCTGCAGGAAAAATTAGAATATAAACAATATACATTGGTATTTTTTCTCTTTCTTAACCTGTTAATCATCTTAGGACCCCTCACGTTTATCTTATGACTCCTCAGAAGGGTCCTGAACCCCAGGTTGGGATCCAGTTGCTTTAACAACATCACATAAATGAGTGTAGTCATGCATTTTAAGCTGTTTTAAGCCTTACTGCTTTTTTTCCCTTTCTTTCCTTTAGTGTGCTATAAAGCTGCTTTTTGACACGCTAAAGGTCTGCAAACTTACAAAGCCCAATGTCCGTACCAAAATGCCAAAAATATTGGCGCTCTCTTCTCTCTACCTGAGTTAAATACCCCCCTTTAAAAATCAAGGATTTTCTTCCATTACCTATGTATGTCATCATGTAACACAGTTACCTCACATCTAGTTTTCCCACTTAAGCAAAGAATAAACAGCCATTCTGCTTCTGCTTGGACTATGTCTCTCTGCCTATACTTCTAGATCTGGCATTACAGTATGAAACCAACACTACCTGGCTTTCATTGGTCCAGCTGACCAATCAGAGCTTTTCGGGATGGTTCCCTTTAAAGAGACACGAGCTAAATAGCAAGTTTTTGAACATTAAAGGTAAGCATATTCTGGTAGATTCCAAAAACAGAATTATACATAATGTGGGTTCTTTAACGCTGGTATTTTATACTATTATCTGATTGATTCATTAATCAAGTAAACAATCGCCACTTGTAGCCCTGCTATTTGTAAATGGTACTTTTTAAAGCTCTTAGTCTTGGTATGTGGTGTGACTTTGTGTTTTTAGTAGAAGTGTCTTGTGTGTTTGTTTTTTTGTAGCTGGTAGTGAATTGATAATTGCTTGATCATTTGTATGCTAAAGCCTAGTTTCTTCCAGTTTGTGTTATAAATGGAGGAAGGAAGCAGAAATTTCTGGTTTTACTTCTCCTACTTCTAAGGTACGCAGCAAGATGAAATATTTCCATAGTGCTGCAAAAACAGTCATTTTACTGCAAATGTATGTCGAAGTTTGATCCTTTTTAAAGTCACATAAAAAATTAAAAAAAAACTGCCGAGTTTAGAGAAGAGTTCAAGATAAAGGTTCTGTGGTGCTGCTGCTGCTTCTGCTTCTGCTTCTGAGTTTTCATAGACCTCTGCTTCACCAAAAACAAACGTCCAAGCTTTGTGTCTGCAGTATATGTGTCTGAACACCCGATTTAAGATCAGAGACAACAAACAAGACAATAATCTAGTGTGGCCTTGCTTTATTTTCATTTACTGTTATGAAATGAGACTCTGCCTTCATGTATTGGCTCTTGTGGGGTCACATAATGGAGTTGTGTTGCACTGAGGAGGGATGTGATCTGCAGTAACTGATTGTAAATCAAGCAGTTTGGTTATACTTGTGCCTACATGTTTAATCAGAGTGTAGTGTGTTGTTGTGTTAACCTGCTTTACGCTTTGTTCAGCAGTTCCAGGAATGCCTTTCTCAGCAGAAGCAGCCTGATAGCTGGTGTACCACCAGCTATCAGGTTGTTGTTAACGCTGCATACACTTTGTACATGCCGGTGTAGAAGTCTGCAGATTCAACCTGGTTAGGTTTCGCTTTGCGTTAGTTATTTTGTTTCCTCTGGTTCGGCTCACCTGAGGCGGATGTGTGTTTGGATGTTTAGTGCTTATGAAACGAGCTCTGCCTGTTCCTCCACATGATCCGAGTAATTTACTGTGCGTTTATCTCACAAAGAATCTCTGACGCACACAGAAATGATGAATGTCAGAAAACAAGAGAGGCGCTTTAAAGGAAAATAGAATTTATAGTTTTCAGATACCAACGTGGCAGCACATTACACTGTTAGATGTTCTGGCTGCGTGTGTTTATGCCTCTTCTTGGTGAAAACACACCTCCCAGACAGAAACATGCTCATGTTGGGTTTTAAAAAGTGCTCTGCTTTCTGCATGTAGAAAGTCTCACGTTTATCTCGGGCCAGACGCTCCAGCTGCGTGCAGTTTGCTCTAATGAGGTCTGAGGCCAAAACTAAATGGAGAAAATGTAAGGACCGTCTTACATTTATTCTATAAAGCACTTTGGGCAGCGGTGCAGGACTAAGGTAGAGAGCTGTCATACCTGTAGTTTAGTTGATTAAAAGTTGCACTTTAGCTGCCTTTTATTTATCATATATACTGTATTTTATCAGTTTTTTCTGTAGGTACTAGTGGACTGATGAAAGGCACATGCAGAGGAAAATGAAGCAGAATTTGTTCCATTCAGTTGGGTAGTGCACCTCAAGCAACTATTTAATCACTGGCGTACTATAATCAGTTATCAGGAATAATAAATACACTCTTTACACACAAAACAGTCAATTATATTGATACTCAAACTAAAACTCTTGAGTCATTCCACTGACTTCGTCACATTTGCCACACTTGAGTCAACGTTGTCATTAATTGACAAATTATTATCATATTGTTATATTTTTATGTTTAGCATGTATAACATATTGACAGTATCACAACAAACTGCTCATGTTTGGACAAAAGGCAAAACAATTTGTCAGTTAATTCACCAGTTAAAAGACTGAAGCCATTTTGGTTGTTTGATCACTTAAATCCATCCATCCATTATCTATACACCGCTTAATCCCCACGAGGGGCGCTGGAGTCTATCCCAGCCGACTTAGGGCGAAGGCAGGGGACACCCTGGACAGGTCGCCAGTCCATCGCAGGGCCACACTTAGAGACAGACAACCAAGCACACTCACATTCACACCTACGGACAATTTAGAATCACCAATTAACCTCAACATGTTTTTGGACTGTGTGGGAGGAAGCCGGAGAACCCGGAGAGAACCCACTCTGCACGGGGAGAACATGCAAACTGCACGCAGAAAGATTCCGGTGCCCTCACCGGGACGCAAACCGGCGACCTTCTTGCTGCGAGGCAACAGTACTAACCAACTGCACCACCTTGCAGCCCATCACTTAAATCCTCAAGCAAAATTGCTTTTCTTTTGCCACACAGTAAATTTAATATGTAAGTACAATAAAACTTAAGTCCAGATTATTAAGTAATATTTGTCATTGTGGTGCTGTAGCCATGCACTGAGCTACAAATCACATTCTCCAAACACAAGGGAGCATGATTGTTTGGTACAGACTGGAGCAAAAATCATTATTGTCAGAATTGCTGCTGTAGAAAATGAATTTTAAAATTCCAGTTTCCACTAAAAATCATGAGTCAATTATTGGTCAAAAAATTCACAATATGATTTTTTATTTTATTTTTTAAAATTTAGTCTTACATTTTTCCTGTTGTTCAGCCTCGTCTCCCACAGTACTAACAGGCCTCCTGTCCTGAGCAGTAAATGACACTGCAGCATCAATTACGACTTGCTTTCTGTTCTATGTGAAATTTTGGCATCACAGAGTCAGTTGACTGTTAACTTTCTGTGCGAGGTAATGTACTATCGTGAGACTCAGTGAGACCTCGCTGTGTCTGTTCGGTCCGGCAATGAAAATAAACTTTCTCGGAAACTAAAGACGTTGTGTTTTTCGTATTTACAGATGCACTTACAGAAACATTAAGGGTTAGCTACAGTTGGTAACCTAAAACTATATTTTGTTATCATGCAGGGAATTGGAAATTGTTTTTGTAGGTGTGTGATTTGCCAAACTCAGTGTTGGTTTGCGATACACCACATTCCTTTAGCATATCTGACACATGACTTTGGCAAATTTGGGCTCTTTTTAACATCTTGCCAGTGTAGTTGGAACTATTCAACCGTTCCAGTGTCATTTCTGACAACGTTGCTGTATAGTGAATAAAATGTTTATTTCTTATTTCATGGGTGATTTAGGACTTTTGTGTTCATGCCCATTTGGACATCAATTACCATGGCAACGGTAGAAGCTTGACTGTAATCAGGTCAGCCCTAGATTTTTATCTTTTTTTAGAAAGTGAGTGTAACATGTCATGTGTTGCCTTTTACTCAGGTCAACTGCGGTTAGTTTGATCTATTTGAGGATGCTGCATCAGCTGCATTTCTTTGTTCAGCGACTGAGAATACGGAAAGTAAATGATGGAGGATGGAAGGGCTCCTAACACCAAGCAGGAGGGGAAGGAGCTGATCAGTGTCTAAAGGGGCTTACGAGGATCTGTGTATTGTCATTAAACTGAAATATGTAGAAATATTCACCACTATATTACTGTCTATGTCCTGAAATAACCTTCTGCCAAGCGACGGGGCGTCTCCTCAGCCCTCTGTCCTCCGCTTCCACCGGCAGCCGCCCAGGCGGGACTCTGCTAACAACAGATGGAGCTAATTAATGCTAACGATGGGGAGCAGGGATGAGTTTAATCAGCTGCCTTGTTAGGAGCAGGTTTTTCTGCTTCGGCATGAGATTCACAGTTGACAACGGACAATCTGACCACATTCACAGCGCACAGGCATCATGTCGATCCTCTCCATTGATCTGATTCATACAGCAAACTGGCTCCAGGACTGTTGGTGTTATTGAAGCGAGCAGCTGACATTTAAAGAGAAAGGAGCTTTTGTGAGAATGTAAATTAATCTTTTTGTGTCTCTCTCTGTCTCTGCAGCTGGCCGTGTCTTCATCAAGTGAGTATTTCTTCTGTTTTCTTGTTTGTCGTTGCTTTTTAGGACTCTGCACGCACACAGGTTATGTCAATACTGTGATCAAATAGGCCTCTGCTCAGGTTGAAGCTCACTTCCTTCTTTGTGCCAGTAAAGAGCCGGCAAAGTGCTGAACCGCAGAGTGAGGTGGCATGAAATGGAGAGACAGCTATTTTGATAATTGCTTTGTGGTTTAAGTGATGAACTAGAGAAAAATCCAAACATCAGCAGACCCCAGGTATTTCCACGTGAGGATTCTGAGAACTTTATTGTTGTACTTTTTCATTATATTTGGCTTTTGCATTGTTGGACAAGCAATTTGAAGACATCGAATCTGAGTCTGGAAAATTGTAATGAAATGACATTTAAAATTTTTTTTAAAAAAACAACAAAAAAACCTGACAGATTAACTGGAAGTTAAAATAATCACTGACGTCAAAACATCCTCCATTTCAAACCCAGGTGGAAACCTTTTTGTACGAAGTGTTTCAGAAAAGTTCCAGGACTGGTGTCACAAAAGATATATTTCAAACCCAAACTACAAGTTTTCCCCTTCAGATGATCTGTCAGCACGTTTACAAAGAGATCC